GCTTTGGGAACTGTAGACCCAGGGCATCCTGCAAAGTGGGGTGGTTCTGCAGCATTCCTGGTGCTAATCAGCCACAGCCCCTGGCTCTCCGCACACCAACATTTCCCTAAATCAGTAGCTCCCAGGTGTTCTCTGGGCTGAGTCCCCCACCTAACTTCAACCAGGGAGACCCCAAAGTCTTCAGGTATATGTTTTGGGGCTCTAAGTGAGTTTTCTTTTAATAGGATTGCCTCCATTAAGCAAAAGTTTGGGTAACACAGTCTTTATCAATGTGTGACCAGAAGGCATTGTTGTTCTAGAGAAGGGGACGGAACTTGGACCTATCAGTCAACTGAGACTTCCTAAATCTAGACTTTCAATCATTAGAAAAATAACTAGATTAGAACTTCTTTTTCTAATAAACTGAGAACCTCAGAACAGGCAAGGCAGCCTAAACTCCCTTCTCTCTGGCTAAGTCCAGCGTAAAGACTCATTCGGAGCCAAATTCTTTTCTGAGCCCTCAGTTTCAGTCCCAGGATAGAAGACAGGACCTGGCAATCGCCACTTAGACCTGCTTTCCATGTTCTGGGCCTCTAACCACCTTCAAGTGAACACGAGCATTGGTTGGTCTGAGGATAGAGCTTCCAGGGACTGTAATGTCCAGTGACCACAAATCAACTATGACATTGCTTTCTGGTTGGATGGGATGTGAAGGGTAGGAAGGAGAAGGGGGGAAGAAGAGGGTGATGGAGCAGGGTATCCCCCATAAGAAGGACTGAGCAGCCTGTCTCCCCTGCAGCTGTTTGAAGGGAACATGCACTACGATACCCCTGACATCCGAAGGTTCGACCCTGTGCCTGCACAGTACGTGCGGGTGTACCCCGAGAGGTGGTCCCCAGCAGGAATTGGGATGCGGCTGGAGGTGCTTGGCTGTGACTGGACAGGTAAGGCCCTGGCTTCTTAAGATGCCCTGGAAGGAGATCAGACCATGGAGTGGATGGGGACAGAGGGGACACCCATCTTGGTTGAAGCCCTATCAGCCTGAAACCCTGCACCCCTGCCCACCCTGGGCTCTGCCATGTTCTCCTGCCTCAGACCATGGGCACTGCAGCCTCTGGTCTTGAGACAGTTTCTCAAGGGAGGTGCTTTGTCATTTTTAAAGGATCGTTTCAGCTCCCCAACCCGAGCCTCTCAAAAACAAATCATAACCACACACCACCCACCCAAATTCAATTAGATCCTGACTCTTCAGGCCAGGGAGCTGTGGCTGTTGATTTAGGGAAGAAAAAAAAAAAATCCTCATGATAATAAAGTAATCGGTTTATGTCTGAATCTGGCCTCCAGATGTCAGTGGCTAGGAGACTTCATTTTCGTTTCGAAGCCACATCTGTAAAAGGCATTCATTTGCTCAGGAGGGACCCTGTTGCTGGGGACTTCTTCCCAGTGTGTGGCAGGAGATTGCTCATTCCTGCCCCTGCCAGGCAGCCGGGTGGAGGGAGAGCCTCTAATTCCCCTTGACAAGGAGCAGGCCCGCTGAGCATGCCCACCCTTTGCTGGGAAGCGCCCTGTCCTTTTGAGTCAGACCCCACCTTCCCTCTGGGCACTGGCCCTCCTCCCTCTGCAGAACTGGCACTGGGTCTCCCCTGGAGCTCACTCACTGCCTGCCAAAGGAGCTCGGGGCAGCCCCACGAGCCCCACGCCGGCAGGAGTGGCAGGTGGGCTGAGCCTTCCTGCTCCTCTCCACCGGGGCCCCAGGTATCTCCATTTTCCTGCCTGTGCTCTACCTGTCACCAGCTCCCTGGCAGGGCATGGTGAAGGATTAATAAGGGCATGTCAGAGAAGTGCTTTTGGCTCCCAGGGAGAAAAGTGCCCCCTGCATGCCCGCTGCGATGGTGCAGAGGAGGAGGCCTGTTGAGGCACACAGGTGGGAATTGGCCCAAATTAGCCTCCCCCTCGGCGTGAAGGCAGCCCCAGTGAACACAGGTAGTGGGAGGACACTCTACTCCCATTAGGAAGGACTGAGGCCAAGTTTCCCTGCCGCCTGCTGACTGTGTGCCACCTGTCCACTTGAGGTGCTGAAAACTGTCCCTCCCACAGCGACACAAGCTGGTGGCTTTTATGGCCTCTTTGGAATCAGAGGGTTAGAGATTTGGGGGACCCGGGAGCTTCTAGGCCAATGGCTTTCCAATGATTTTAACCACCATCACAATTTAAAATAAATTTATAAATGATCCACTTGACTTACAAGCACATGTGTGCGTGCATACACACACACATAAGTGCACACACGTGTTTGCCTGTGGGGAATAGTGTGTCACTAAGTGCCTGGATTCCAGTGACAGATTGCCATGTACAAGTCCTGCCTTTGCCGACCACTGGCGGCATAACCTCAGACACGTTACTTCACCTCTCAACATCTCAGTTATACTGGCTAAAAAATGGGGGTGATAATGATATAGCGATACCCCCAGGGTTATTAGGAGAAATCAGTAAATAATGCATATCAAGCACTTAGACTGCTGCGCCACACCTAATAAACCTGTTAGGATAAGTAAATCTGACTGAAACGAAAGGTTCCGAAGGCAGTGTTCATCCCTGCCATGTGCGTGCACTCTGAAATACTATAGTTGCTATTTTTAAAATGCTGGTCACGGCCCATTAAATTGATTCCACAACCTACTAATGAGTGTGACATACAATTTGAAAAAATCACAAATCTGAGCCGGCGCCTCTTTCACAGACAAAGAAACTGAGTCCCAGAGAGAGGAAGAGCCTTGGCAGAGGTCGTTCAGCTAGCTGGGGGCTTTCTCACACTTCCCTCCTCTCCTCAGCCCCTCTGGGCCATGCCGCCCCCAGCCCGGCCCTGCTGTATGACCAGCCGGACAGTTGCAGATGGCCTTTCCCACTTACTGCTCCCCCACCCCAACCTGGCCCAAATTACACTGGTGATGGTCAGCAACAGGTTTCTCATTTCAAAGTCCTGCCTGGCTGTTCCTCAGAAGATCAGAGTTGGGGCTTGTTACCCTCTGCCCAGACTCCCTCCCTTTGAAGTCTCAGACATCTGGTTTCAATTGTAGTTTAACGGGCAGTTGCCTCGGAGCACCCAGTACAAACACAGTGGACACAGAGGCCGGCTGCTGTTTCCTCACTGCCAGTCACATGCCCTGCCCTCCCGTGGCCTCACCAGCCCCTGTGCCCCTGCATTTAGCATCATCTCCACCAACCAGCTTGTCCATTCTGCTAGCTAACATTTCCAGAAACTGCTCTCCTAGGGCATGTGGCTTTCTGGCTTGTCACATGTCCATGTGTTTGTGCAACTCATCCTTAGTTCGCTTCTTCATTACTACCCCAGAAGGATCCCAGGGAAGATAATGGGCTGGGCTCAGTCGCTGCAGCTAAATAATTTGACAGGGCTGCTTCACCTGTTCGCTGGTGTGTGTTTCAAATGATTTCTTCTTGCCTTGCTGCCCAGAGTTTGCTTTACAATTGAGTTTGAGGTTCTGTGACACGGTGACAAATTTGAACTTACAAATTAGGACGCTTCGAGGTTATTTGCTATTTACTGTGAGCAAGAGGCAGACACGGCGAAGAGAAGTCTGAAAGGTTATGTGAGTAGTATTTAATAGCAGAAAGATGGGAAGTGGAGCGTGAAAAAGCTATTCAGCGTATTTAGCGAGTCCCTTCAGCTCCTGGCTTTATTAAATGGTATCCTGAAGGGGGCCTGACAGAGACGCCCAATCACACACAATTGTGCCGAGGAACAGGTATAGAAATGGAGGAACAATGCCGGGGCGTATGCGGGTAGTCTCCTTGGAGTGCAGTTCTGGGATGAAGACCCCACCCCACAACACACGGACTTGAACACCAGTTACCAGAACTTCTTTTTGTCCCACTAAGGGCCTGACTCACAGTTTCATTCATTTCCTAAATGGTGGCTGAATGAAGGATGGCCATGAACAAATAACAAGTGAATGGGCAGGTGAATGAATCACTAGGTCAGAACTGCCTGCCTGCAGCCAGGTTTGGCCCAGCCCGGTTTTGTTGCATTCTGCTTGTTACAGTATTTTGAATAAGTAGCCAACATTGATAAGTCTGGAGGTTTTCCATGGGAATTTTGGATTCGTGTGGGGGGGAGGGGGGATTTTTTTTTTCAAGATGTGGGCTACCTCCCCACCCTTCCCCACCCTCGCCCCTCGGGGCCTCAGTCTGCTGGAGCCAGTCATACTGGCCTCCTTTAAATCAGGCATGCAAACTTCTGTCCCACACTTCACTCTCCCCCACACCCAATGCCCTGGCCTCCCTTACAGTAGCTGTTTGCACTTAGGAAGCTTTGGAATCTGCCACACCTTGACCTAAAGGCACAGCCCCACATTATTTCCACCAAGTGAGGTCTGGGTGGCTTCGATTTCATATTCCTTTCCATTCCCTTTTGTGCAAATGTGAACCAGTGTCTGCGGCCACACCTTCCAGGCTTCTGGCTTTGGTGATTGTGCCTCCTAGATCGGGTTAGCTGTGGTTCAGAAAGTTCTGTCTGGCTCAGAGAAAGAGGAAAAGAGAAAGTCTACTCCACCGGAAAGCAGGAGTGAGGCGGAAGGCATGTCAGCTGCCACCCCAGGGGAAGTGCACAGATAGGCATTGTCTACAGAATGGAAGCTCACTCTGTTGAGCACCGAGATGTTCTCAAACTGTTTTGGATGGGCATTACTCATTGTGTGTACTTGCCCACCCGCACTTGTCTCTTAGAAGAGCACCCAGAGCCTGAGCTAGCCCTGCCTCTGGGTCAACATCGCCCACATTCATTCCTGTGTTGTGTGGCCTTCCTGCCGGCCTCGGGGCCTCTGCTGGGCAGTAAGGAGCACGGGTTTGCATCGGGGCCTCTGTCAGGGCTGTTTCTGCAGCTTTGGCCTGTTTTCGTTCAGCTTGGACAATGCTCCTGACATCACTGACAGCACACAGAGGTGACCTCGGGAGTGTGTGTGTATGTGTGTCTTTGTTTTCTTTCCTTTACCTTTCTCTGATAGCCCACACTTAGAGAGGAAACCTAGATTTTGGCATCTTCCTTGTGCATTTCAATGCAGACCACTGCATGCAGCACTCACACCCCGGCCTTTCCCTTCATACAGACTCGAAGCCCACGGTAGAGACGCTGGGACCCACAGTGAGAAGTGAAGAGACCACCACCCCGTATCCTATTGACGAAGAGGCCACAGAGTGCGGAGAGAACTGCAGCTTTGAGGATGGTGAGGATCTGGGTCAAAGTTCTATTTCATGCAGGATGGCACAGGTGCCAACCAGTGGGGGTGGAGGCTTACCTATGGCTGGGACCTGGGGGTCCCCTGGGTCAGAGGTCAGGGAGGCATGGATACTCAAGGGCTTGGGGCAGTAGCCTTTTACAACCCATCTGGAAGCATTCAGTATTGGAACAACCTATACAGCCCTATGGGCACGAACCCACTGGTCATCAGCTGAGATAAGGGTCCATTTAAAGATGACTCCTCTTTGGAGAAGTCTTCTTCTCTAGCCCTCACTCCGCACCTTCAGAATCCACAGCTGTGACCCTTTTTCCTATGAAGCCATGTCTTCATGGTACAGTCAGGTGAAAATCTGGAGGTGACCCAGTTCATGGAGCACAATAGTCAGATTAACTCAGCAGTTAGCCGTCCCTTAATTGCATTTCCCCATGTCTTTCACCACCACTGATTGAGAAAATGTAATAATTATGACTCTATGGGAGAGCGCATCCTCTGTTAAGCAAGTGCAGGTCAGTGACAACGGAGGACATGTTAACAGGCACCTCAATGTCCTTTAGAGCGCAGAGCCTCCCCCTCATCACGTGGGAAATCTGGATTACTCTCATTTCATCTCCTAAACATACCCACGTTCCATAGAAACAATTGGCAGAGCCCAAAAGTGCATCACATTTTAAATCATGCCACTAAGGTTACCGAGAACGAAGACATTCCTAACAAACCACAAATTTTGGAACACCTGGCATTTTTGGCTAGAAGTTAGTGCTTTGCAGCCTCAATTTACAGTAAATTACTGACCATTATTAAACGTTCATTAAGCACAGTGAGGGAAGGTGGGCGGAGAGACTTGGGGAGTGACGGAGACACACGGGCTCGCACCGACTGCTGAGGCGGCCAGTGGGGCCTGTGGGGCCCACGCTCAGCCCTCGGACAGTCTGAGGGAGCGCCGGCTCCCAAACAGGGCTGCGAAGAAGAATGGGAGGGAGGCCAAGAATAAATGCTGAAGCTGTGTGACTGAAAAATGATAATTTAATGCATATGCTTTTAGGAATGTGCTTTTGTGTATTGTGTGGGCGGAGGGACACTATTGGTCAGGGTTAGTTGAATACAGAATTCTGACATTTTAATGAACTTGTTTTTGTTCTATGAAGAAGAGAAGGAGACTTGGAGAATCTTCCAAGACGTGTTTAAGATAGTTTGAGGGCCAAAAGTGGAATGCATAGGGAGTTAATATATGGTATCGGATTAGCAGAGCTGGCTTGGTGGAGGGCGGGCAGTCCAAAGGAAAATTTAAGGGTTCTGCTGCAAACATTCAGAAGTTTAATATAATTTTCCCGTTTGTAGTGGTTTGTTTCCTTTGAGGTTTCTTGGGTGGTTCCTCCCTTCACTTTTTTTTGCAAAAGATCTCTTTGTGGAATTTGGTTCCTGAGATACCATATGCATGTAAACATTAGAGAGGAATTACGGTATATTGAATTACTCCATATTTTTGAACGGAAAAATAGAAATTCAGAAATTGTCGGGAGAAGGGGATGGTGAGGGCTAAGAGCTGCCTTTTCCAAGCCACAGGTTGATGCTTCTGTAATAGATTCCATGTGTTTCTTCTCCACTCAGGCTGACTTTGGCCAACAGTAGGCAAACATTAAATATTCCCTCTTGAGAAGGAGAGGCATAAACAGGACTCGGTGGCACTCTGCTCTGAGGTCAGCCATGCTCTTCCCCTCAGAGGTGTGAGCAGTTTGTTTTCACCAGTCTGTTGTTCACTTTATGTTTCCTAACCCACATTCGAGGCCTTCCCTGCGGAAATTCCTGCCTGGGAACCCTGAGAAGGGAAGTGAGAAGGCCAAAGACCCCACTTCCTCTCTGCTGCCAGCATTAGCCAACACTTTTCTGCTGTCTCCACAGCCCCTGCCAGCGAGCGCCCAGATCTGGGTTCCCATTTCCTCTTTTCTCCCACCTCCACCCCGACCCCCACTTAATCACATACTTGGCACGAGCTCATACTAGATTTTTAGAGCTGAGTAGAAACTCAAAAGAAACACCTTGGAGCCAGTCTTCTAGCTTAGGCAGGTGAACCACCGAGCAGATAGGACAAGCCACTGGGTGGTCACTGCTTAGATTTCCATGGGAGTACATTCTCTGCTGACCTTGGGTCTGACCTGCAGGCACTCAGCACCATGTGGAATTCCTTTCCCTCTGGGTCAGCACTGAGCTGGGCAGAGCAGCTGGTCCAGCTCGGCTGGTTCCCTCCTTTGCCCTAACATGCCACCTGGCAGTGCCTTCCCGGGATGTTGAAATGACCTGATCTTCTGAAACAAGACCTACCACAAAGAGGTGAAGGGTAGCAAACAAGCCTCCCTTGTTTCCGAGGCCACTGTCTCCTCACTGGCCCGCACCTCCCCGGCATTCTGCCTCTCTGGATGCTAATGGGCTGCCCCATACTTTTGAGCGCCAGGTTGGCAGGAGCCAGCCTTCCACTGAGGCGCTGGGGAGACATTCTTCTCTGGGCATTTAGGGAACAGCAATTTCCACATTTGTCTGCTCTCCGAGGTGGACAGAAGAGGCTGATGAGAGCCTGAAGCCATTTGGTGGCCTCATTTATAATTGCTTACTATGGGAACCACTGGCAGACTTGGCTTTCATGCCTGGGAAGGATGAGACCAAAGGCTGACCCGAAAGCCAACGATCGCCAAGATGAGTTACATGAATAAGCAAAAGGGAGCCACTTTTTTCTCTGCTCTGCACTCAGGCCTTGCCAGCCATTTAAATAACACCACTGTGGCTGTTCTCTGAATCCACTTCATTTGCCTTCCTTTGGGTTATTTTTCCCCCCCCTTTTAGACAGAGATTTGCAGCTCCCTTCAGGATTCAACTGCAACTTTGATTTCCCTGAGGAGCCCTGTGGTTGGATGTATGACCATGCCAAGTGGCTCAGGAGCACCTGGACCAGCAGCACCAGCCCAAATGACCGGACGTTTCCAGGTAAGCCAGCTGCAAATTAAGAGACAAAAGAGTTAATGCCAGCTTTCTGAAGCCACGTTTTCAGCTCACACTCTCTGACAGGCTTTATAATTGCCCACCACAGACCAATCCTCTGCTCTTTGCCCGCAAACCACCACAGTCTTTGCTCACCACGTCACCCCACAGAATAGCGGGTTGGTGGTTTCTACCCTCTCTTGTGATTATAGGCTGGCCTGGAAGCTGGGAGGGAGTGAGAGAGGCCAAGATAAAAGAAGAGGAAGAAAGAAAGAAAGCCGTTGGGAGGTCTAGGAGATGGGATGAGAATGTCCCCTTGTTCCCGTAGCCAGTACTTGCTGCCAGCATCACAGAGCCTCTTGTCAACTTCAAGCTGGGTATTGTTCCTAAAATGGCCCATTAAGAAACCATAGCCCTCGAGTCTGACTTACCTTCTCCTTGGGTGTCATCGCCTCTGTAACAAACCAAGTCAGGGGCCTGAAATCTGCCACACCCAAGGGTGTCCAGCAGAGCTGCCGGGGACTGTCCTCTCAGAGTCCGATTTCAGAACCCTCGGCCTCCTAAGTAGGTAGAAGCGAGTCATCGACCATCTCCACCGGCACACACTGGTACAGTGATGTTCTGATAGATGTTTAGCAACCAGCTCTCCGAGGATTAAAATACCCTGCTTTGTGATGTTTGCCACTTTCTATGGTGTAACCCTCCTACTATGGTCAAATTCAAGTACCAGCCATCACTGGAGGTGGAGAGAAGGGCGGCAACACAGCATTGTAGAGTTGCTTCCCATCAGACAGTCATAATACACATAACTTTGGGAGCATCGGTACCGGTAAATTGTATTAAAATAATTAAGAAGTGTCAAGTTTTGAGAATTTATTACCTTGAGTTTGTAATATAATTTCTTTAATTGTAGCTGTATATAATTTAATTATTAATAGTGCTTGCATTTAACCACTGGCTTGCAAAATTCCAGATAATTTAACAATGGGCTCTCACAAACATTGGCTCCAGCACACCAGGCATTAGCTTTCAATTTTCCTCCACGCCTGGCCTGGACCTTGGGTCCCGGTAAGCATTCGAGAGGAAAAGGGTTAATTCTGGAAATTAGTAGATTAAATGTTGCCTGACTAGAGAATAAAAGGGGAAAAGGACCGCCCCTTCTGCAGGGTTCCCGAGAGCTGCTCCCCTGCCCCTCACTGCAAGAACTGGCCATGGCCCCTGTCCCCAAGGGAGGCAGTAGGACAGACGCCAGGAGAGCACTGCGGCCGCCTCCTGACACAGCCTGCACTTGCTTTCCCAGAGGGTCACAGCGTCTGTTCTAGAGAAAAACATTTTCATATTTCAAGTGTTTATCTCTTCAGCATTCGAGTGCTTGGAGAGATTAGTATCTGAAGATCACCGCAGCCTCGGGCAACGGGAGAGAGCACTTACCCTCGTCCCAACCTCAATCACCCTCCCTCCCCTCATTCACTGCAATAATGTTTAATTAATATAATGAGCCTCCTGCACGTTGGAAAAAATACTTATTTTTATAACCCAGCCTGGATTTTTCATTTTATTTCCTCTCCTTTGAGACTTGGCCCAATTAATTGGCTGTTCTCCCAACCCCCACTTTTTATCTTAAAGATTCGTAGGGGATATGTCTGTGTGTGTGTACGCATAGTGTTTATATGTGTGTATTTTTGGTTTATACGTGTCTGTAGGTGTTTCTTTCTCAAGGTGTTTGGGTCTTTTGTGTACATGCATTTGTTTTGTGTTTTTATATGTAGGTATAGATGTATTTATAAATATGTATGTGCATGTGTGTGTGCATGTGTCTGTAGATTTGTGTTTGTGTCTGTGGTTTCTATGCATGGGTGTGAATAAGAGGGAAGCTTGGCAGAGGCAGTTTGAATACAGGGACGTAGGTGAAATAGCACGGGGACATTTCCTGGCTCCTATTCAGCGTTCATCTTCAGGTGCTTTCTAATAATTCAGCCTCTTGCACTCTTCTGAGCAGGTTTTCTCTAAGAATGCCTGTGGCCAGCCCAGCTCAGGCTACAAGGCCACCAGTTAGCAAGTGACACTTCTGGGATAGCTTAAGTTACTCTCCGTTTGACCCTAGCCTTTACCTCTGTTCCGTCGCCTGTTCGCCCTGCCTCCCCCTGGTCCAACTGTCGCCTTCACCTGAATGTCCCACCCTCCACCCTGGCTCCCCGTGGGGATTCTACTTCTTGTCCTCATTTGGTTGATTCATTGCAGCCCGTGGCTGGTAGGGCTCTTCAGAGCCAGCTTGCAAAGCGGGCAGAGTCCCAACCTCTGGCTGGCCGGATGGGGACAGGAGGGAAACGCGGGCCATAAGGAACTGCTAGATCTAATGGTGTTTTTCCCCTAAGATGTTGAGAAGGAAAATAATTATGTTCCTCCTCCAGAGGAATCCCTGAAGTTTGGAAAAGTGGCACTTGTAACTTGCCTCCAGAAAACAAAATCATAATATTGTCTTCAGAGCCCTTCCTTCTCCCCTCTGCTGATTTAGAAAATCATCTGCTGTATTTCCCGTGTTCCTTCTCCTTACAGAACTGGATACTGGCCTTTAAGGAGGAGAGGAGAGAAAGCCCTTTCTGTTCAGGGTGGTCCTTTCTTCTTCAAAAAAAAATGGGGCCCTGAGGGGAGCCGTTGGGAGAAAGGAAACAGCTGTGCTTGGTTAGGGGCAGGGCAGATGCTAATGGGATCAGAGTGGCCGACCTTCCAAGTCAAACCTGAAAGCCATCGTGTCACCCACACATCCCCATCTCCCAGAGAGGAGCCCACTCCACTCTTTAAGAAGAGTGTGCCATATGTTGTACCCTTTTCTTTGGTTGGTAAACAGAAGTAATTACATTTAAGAAAGGAGGTGTCTCCATCAAGTAGGGAGAAAAAAGAAGGAAGGAAAGGAAAAGGGAAATGGCCGTGTTGAAATATCACACACAGGCCATTTGGTTAGATGTGTCTGTGGAAACCACTTACATTCCTTAGATATTTTCTGATTTCTTTTCTCATGTTTTGTTTTTTCTTGTTTTTTTTTTTTCTCTTTTCCTTTTAAGTAAGCAATTAGTTCTGTTCTTTTGGCTAGCGGTGGTGGTTGCTTAAGGCTGACAGGACACCCACTGGTTTCATTCCACTGTTTTTGTTTTTCAGGATAGTCTTTCAAGCCACTCGGAATTTCTTTTTTTAGCTCTTTGCTTGTGCTCAGAAGCCTGGAGTGTGTTCACACCCGCCCCTGGGGAACCTGTTCCCAATTCAGTGACCCCTGGTGGTTACCGAGGAGCCCGTCCCATGTTCTCTCAGAGGCCACTCTGTCTTTTCTCTGTAGCTACGATGACACAGAAAATATCTCCCCTAGTGGGAGTTTTAAGGAAGATCAGATTTAGGTCTTTAAAGAACAAGGCAAAAAGTCCTTGAGGTGGCCCATTTGTCAATATACTAGCCACATGTGGCTATTTTAATTTCATTAGTTAAAATTAAATACAGCTAAAACTTTGGTTCTTTCACACCAGCCACATTTCAAAGGCTCAATGGCCATGCTGTAGTGGACACTGCAGGTATAGGACATGCTCATTGTCACAGAATGTTGTCTTGGCGAGCACTGCTCCAGCACCATTAGGCATTAACACGAGAGTGACCTCTGAGACCCTCGCTGCTACTGTTCCTTGGTCTGCTGTAAAGCAAGAAGCAAGTAACTAGAGGGATGTGCCATCCCTACTATCCTTTCATGGGAGTGTCCCATGACTGGTATTTTGGTCATTGTTTCGTTTTACCCCAGCGCCCAACCACAATAAAATAAGCAAGTAACATAGCATTGGCTAGTATAGGAACTGCTTCATTCAGTCAAAAGGAGCATGCTAAATAAATACTAAGCAATACCATTAATCGTAATAATAATCATTTTTGTTGTTATTGTCAGGAGCAAGACAGGAAGACTAGAGATACAGGTACTGTGCCAGGTTAGCTTCAGAATCCTCAGGTGTGTGGTCTCCCTAAACGTGTGCTCTTGTACAAACTTGTTGACCTCATGCAAGGTGATTACAGTATGACTGCATTTTAACAACTTCAAATCATGGAAGTGATATAAAGAAAAGTGGCAAAGCCTACTTGGAAGAGTATGCCATCGTGTAAGGACAGAGCTTGGCTGCCTCGCGTTCATATGTTTATTAGATTGAGAGAACAGAATCTTTACTCTGGGTTCCAAAACAAGCTCAAGTGGGAGTGAATCAAGAATACAATGTTCTGAAATATTTGAATTCTACAGATGGTGGCTATTCCACCAAATGTACATGGTAGACATGGGCTGTTTGGATGCAGATTAGGCCACTGTATAAGCTCTGCTAGAATGGAGGGCCAAAAAGGTGGGACACACAAGAAGAGAGTAAGCGTGGGTCAGGATGGTGGGCGGATGGTTGCACAGAAATCAAAGGAAATAGTTGATGAGTGAACTTGCTTGTAATGGGAGTGATTTTTGCCAGAGAGCTACTGTTGACTCTGTGAATTAAAAAGCAACTCCCTGAGCTCAAAAGACCTTCCCCATAGATGGGACCAATGGGAACAGACAGCCCAGACACAGGATTGTCATTTGCTTGAACTGCCTTGAGAAAGAGGTCACTGTGGCTTGGCTGGGGCTCTGCAGCCACTGCAGATACTGAGACAGGAATTTCTCGGGCTTAGATCATGATAGATAATTAAATAGCAGGAGCAGCTTGGCCAAAAGAAAGCCAATGTTCAAGCCATAACTTCAACTGGAAAAGAAAGCATAGACGTCCTTCACTAAGGAAAGTAGAAACACTTCTCTGGCTTTATAGAAAAGGCAGCTGTCGAGAGGACTCCTTTTTTTGAAAGTCATGATTGCTTGAGTTTCCCGGCAGTGTGTGGATTGATCCTAAAGGAGCAGAATGATAGCAAGACTGCCTTCATTGCAAAACCTTCATGGAAGCTGACATACCAAAACAAAGCTTTAGGTAGACTCCTGCAAAGACCAGGCCTGAAACCCCAAA